CTTCTCTCAAAGAGCACGGATACACCCAGAAGACCAGAAGGTCTTAATCTGGTGCTCTTGGTAGCTTTTCTTTGCACCTGAAGGGGAACATTCGGCACATGTAGGGCAGTAATAATCTCCAAGCAGATCTTTTGGTTGCTGCAACTACAGTATGAAATTGACAGGCCAGTATCCCTTTGCCAGACAGTTACCATTTTGCCACTTTGGAGATTAGAGCGGTAACCGGTTGTTCAAGGCCCTGTGTTACAGTAGGACTTACTGGTGCTTGTGATCTTTTCATCACAGACGTGAGTAAACTTCAGCTGATGGAATTATGTATGGGGCACGTATAATTGCCGGCTCGGTTTTGCTTCTTTGGTAGTTGCTCTAGTCCCAGACAGTACAAGAGTATATAACGCGTGACAGAAAATGCCGAGTTATCCCCCCCGTTGCACAATATGGCATTCATTTACTTAACATTTGCAGTTTCGATTACGGTCAATTAGCACCTCGGTTGGGTTAAGGCGGCCTAGGCTGATATTCATATTCGAGTTCAGGCCTGTGCCTGCACGATTGCCACATACATGTTTCAAACCAGAATCATGTTCCACCATGTTCGATATGACGTCATTCGAATAGAACGCGTATTCGAATTCGGGGTTACCGGCGGTCATTTGTATGTTTCCCCTGTAAACCCGCGTTGTTACGCATTTTGTTCACGAGTATGACTTAAATGGCTTTACGCGCAGCTGAAAACAGCATAATTTATCTTTAGAGTAATCCAGGTTTACGTATTATCACTTTTTTATCAAAATTGTCCGAGGCTATTTGCATATAAGTCGATATTTTTTAACTGTGGCGATTTTTTAACGAAAAATGACAGAAAAATAGCTGTTTCTGTCGTTTTTGGCCCAAAAAAACCATGTAACTGTCATTCAAAACAAAATAGCCTCGGACAAAAATAATAAATAGGGGGTTGGCTTTTTACTTGTAAAATATCATGATGAAAGGTGTTGTTACCGCTTGCGCGTAAAGCCATGAAGTAAACAGCTTTTTTTTTAACCAAAATGTTGATTTTTAACCAAAAAATCCAGAAGTAGTAAAAACAAAATAACCTTAATTTCATGTGTTTCAAGTACTACTAGAAATGTGTGAAGTTTAGTTGTGGTGCGACCAAGCTATCAAAAGTTACAGTCATATGTATGAAATACTACTCATAGTATGCCATAGGCTGCCTTAACCCAACCGAGCGGGCTTTTTTTGACATGGGGGGACCGGAGGGGGGGCTCCTTTGACCCCCCCCTAAGAACTCGCGAACGGTATGTCGTATGACCACCAAATTTTCAGGGAATGGTATACTAGTAAAAATTTATCATATCTACAATTTTTATGTCGTTATGACGTAATATGACGTCATTATAAAGTCATTAATGTGATTTTATTGGCCAAAACCGTCCAAATAGGTTTTTCCCTGAAAACTAAATGGTATTCAACATAACTGTACCAAAAGTGTTTATGACAGAATATTAGGGTGTACTAAGTCTTATGTTGCCCATAGCAACACCGGTGATGTCATAAAATGACGTCATGCATATTTAAGATATCCGCCATCTTGGATCATCAATCTTGAATTTTCAAAAATAGTTTTTTTTTTCATGATAAAGCCTAAAATACATTGTAAACATACTAAAGACCCTCATTTAAACCTTTTTTGGAAAAAGAAATGGAAGTATTGATGAAATTTTAACGAAAATAACCTGTATATACCTGTTCTAATGATATGGTCCGCCATCTTGGATTTTGGCCAATGACGTCATCAAATAAACATAAATTATGCATATCTAATGATAAAATTTACATAAAATTATATGGGATGTTATCAATATTAGAAATCATGAGTAACTTGGCATAAAACCCATAAAATTCTATTGTTGAAACAAAAAGTACTAAATTTAGCAAAAAATGCCTGTCAGAAACCCGTTGCCATGGCAACACAAACGATTATTATCTTATTCCAATGACAGAGAATTGTTGCCAACAATATTCTAGGAAAAGTCACCAAGTTTGGTCGTTCTACGGCTAGCCGTTCAGACGCTAGGTGACATCAAAGTTGCCGCGGGCACTTTTAGCCCCCCCCCCCGGTCTAGGTAGGGTTAAAATCATATGCATACTGAAGGATGTTTGATTTTTACCAACGAAAGTAACAACTTAGACTGGTTTAACTTCAAAGGTAGGACTTGCTTTCAGCGTCATTTAGAACAAAGGATGCAAAGCAAAGCGAAAACCAAGCCGTTAACAATAACAATTTTACTTCGTTCAGCAAGGAGGCTACAAGTCTGCTAAAATGATCTTTTGCTTACTAGTTTTTCAAGGTTACCCTCTACATAATGTGTATATCATCTAGATTCTAGTAACATTCGTTTCTGCCAGAAAAGAAAGGTACCGAAAAAAAGACGCCGAGAAAGTTAACATACACTATCTGAAAAAAATAGGACCCCGACCAAGCCATCACGGTTTCACACTCTTAACTACGAGTTAGACGCCACCAGAATAATTTTACACTTCAAGTATATTTCTCTCAAATATATTATGTCAACAATCAAATCAACTCACCGGGCATGTGGTAGTAACTGCGCGATCCAAACGAGGACGATCAAACTTACGATGCGACGCCAGGCAAAAAAATGTACAGAAATGACTAACCTTCTCGTCGTGTCAGTATCGCCAATTCACACTTTCAAAACTGCCGCGCATCTCGAGCTCGGATTTGGAAAACAAAAGCGGTGCGGCCAGGAGGGCCGGGGATTTGCATGTAACTGCACTCGGAAACAATGGCGCCCGATAATCAGTGTCTTTGAGGGACGCCGCCGTAGCTGATTATAGCTTGAAAGCAAAGTCTTACTTCCACGTGAAAGCTCCGAGTAAAGGGTACATGTAATATTTTGGCCCATAACTTTTGATCTAATAAGGATTTTTTTTACGAAAACACCAAAAATCGAAAGGGCACAGTCCCGCCGCCATCTTGATGACGCGTTCTTGTTGTTCTATGGAGGCTCACGGGAATTATACCCTAATTTAGGCCGAAATCTACCCCAAAATTTACGAAAATGATCTTAGATTTCGCAGACATCGAGTTTAATGCCATAGAATAAAAAACTTATTGGTGAGATTATAGATTAGGACCTCAACTAATGTTTAGCGCGTAAATTGGAAAAAAATCCTTATTAGAAAGGTCACAAGGTTCAAAGTTCGATTGATACACGTTGCCGGAACTAAACACTAGCGTAAGAAGGACTTTTTGAACGCTACAATTTGCTGTCACGTAGACAGGTTCACTTCTTATTTACAAAGTGAACCTGTCTACTTTTCAATCCTTACTTTTGTTTCTCGACATGGTATTCCGATCATGCGTTATAAGCCTTCGCACAGATCCAGCGCCGCACAGGATTGTGGGCCAGGTCAAAGGTTAATGTCACTTCGGACGGACGCGCAAACCGTGCACTTCGGACGGACGCGCAAACCGTGCGATGTAGCGTGTTTACATGCGTGCCAGTGTTTTGGTCTCATCTGTCATTGGTTTTGGTGCTTTCTGTTGCATTTTTCGCTGGTGCTATGGAGTTTGAATGTGAAATAGACTCAAAGGGTAGTCTTTGGGGCCATTGTGCGGTGTTTGGATGTGAAAATGGCCGACGAAAAGTGGAAGATTGGGAAGCTGAACAGTGCGCCGTTCACCCAGGTTTTTTTTTTTGTTTTTGCACGCGTATCTTGTGTTGAACCTGTGACTTTGTTTTCATTTCATTCCATTTTGTTTCGTCGAAATGTGTCCTTCCATGTATTTAATCCGTTGTTTGTTCGTCTGTATGTTTAAATTTGCGTCTCCGCCACATGTCCCAGCACTGGCACCGCCGGTCACGGCGTAAGTGCAAGCTGCGTAAGGCGCTATATATACGTTTCTGATCCACTCTGGTGGACCCCTACTCTTATCGACAAGTTTGGCGGGTTCTTTTCCGTGTGACTCTTCGGAAACACCGGACCGAGGACTTACCTTTCTGCTACGAAGGACAATAGCCATTACTGGTTTGGTCCACAGATGGGCACCGCCGGCCACGTCTACACTACATTCGCACGTCATAAATCTTATGGGTAAATTATCTGTCTTTAGGCCACAGCATGATGGCAGATATGGTATTTATTGCAAATCAAGCATAAGTCTGTAGTAGTAGATGGTAATGTATGTTAATTATGGGTTCACCACACCACGAAGTGGTGGTGAACCCATATTGCTTTTTCTGATGTTTTTTCTCCTTCTTCTTCTCCTGCCATTTTTTTAAATGGATTCAGCTTCTTCATTTTAGGGCCTAAGGTCCTGAAATTTGGTATGGAGGTACAGTGGGCAAATACCCCTAGGCGTTTTTTAAATTTTTGTGATACAGGCTTTTAGAATGGTTTTATTTGAGATTTTGGCTGTGTTATAGCAAATGCATTACTGTGTTAGTGTGCCTAGCCTGGGTGCCATCCCCAGTAGTATATTCGCCAGCTCTATAACTGGGTCTGGACTTGAACACATATGTAGCGTCTGGAGTCTGAATATTCGTTCAGATTTTGAACGAGCGCGCTGATTGGTCCTACTCGTCTAAGCCCTTTTTGGGGTATGTACATATTAGGTAAGGGCCGTTCGGACGTTCGAACGGCGACGTTAACGTCCGTTCGAACGTCCGAACGCCTTATCATCAACATGTCCGACGGCGAACCGAACGCTAAAGCGCACATGATATAGCCGTAGTCAGTCTTTCCGCGATAAATCATCAACATGGCTGACGCACAAGCCGCTCAGCTC